GTCCCAGTTCGTCACACTCACAGCACACAATCACCCTGTGGAACTCACCGCCAGGGGATGTTACGAAGGCTGGAAATATCACTGGGTTCAAAGACTAACTCGAGCAGTTCCTGGAGGATGGATCCATCTGTGGCTGTTGGCCCGGATGGGCAGGAACCCAACCCCATGCTCTGAGTGTCCCCGAACCTCTGACTGCCACGTGCTGGGACTGGACGACAGGGCCTGGATCACCCGATAATCCCCCTGTTCTGTTCGTTCCCTCGGCAGCACCGGGCACCAGCTACTGTCAGAGACCGGACACTGGGCTGGATGGACCGTTGGTCTGACCCAGCGTGGCCGTTCTTATGATCTTAACTGAGTGCAGAGATGCATCGGACAGAGCCAGAGCTTGGTGCAGCGCCGTGGAGAAGAGATCACAGGAGGCCGGAGTGGGTCGCTGAGAGCACCCACGAATCTCCTGTGAAATGCTGATACTGCCTCCCCTTCCGCTCTTCAGGAGCTGGGGGTGTGGCGGCAGTGCCAAGGACTTGCGCCCTGGATTGGCAGCCCTGTGGGTCACAGACTCCAGGAGGCCAAATACACGTGCCTGGGCAAACAGAAGGTTTTGTTTTCATAGCAATGAAAGGAGACTCCAGACCTCCCGTCCACCTCGTCTTCCAGTGAGCTGGGGCTTTGGGGTGTGAGTGAAACGTCCTGGGGGGGGGCTAAATATTCCCTCTCAAAATCCACCCGTTCTGCCACCCACGTGCATCCACCTCTGCCCTAAGTGGGCCATGGTCCCCCTTCCTGGGGGTCCTACGTGTCCAGAATCCTGGTCATTTAAATGGGGGTGCCCTTCAGCTGGAAAGTGCGGGGCTGTGGCCGCTCTGCTGCAGGGGGGGGGACAGGCTGCTCCCACAGCCAACAGGGCAGCACCTTGGGAATAGCAAACGCGATGGTGCGGATAAAGCGGGCGGGTCCATATTGACTTTGCATCAGCCGGGAGGGTGGGGCGCAGCCTGGGTGGAGGATCGGATACTTGTTCCCAGCTGTGCACGCAACAGAAGACACCTGTCCCCCCCCCCCCCGTGCCTGCCGGGGAAACGGGCGTATGTGACACACCTGCCAGCTTCAGGGAAGGGCTGGGGGCTGGAAGGACCTGTAGCTGTTTGCACCATACTCGCTGCTGCTCTGGGGAGGGCTGGGGAAAGAGGGGCACCAAAGGAGGTGACTTGCCCCAGGGAGTCAGTGGTTAGGATCTGGGCGTTCCTGGCTCCCAGGCCCGTGCTCAGGCCTCTAAACCCCGAGGCCCCCGTGTTCTTGTGGGGAAAGCATCCTAGGAACCAGTTTCAGGATTGAGTCACTGGCAGGGAGGCCAAGAGGCTGGGGGAATTTCTCTGCTTGGGGGGGGAGGGGTTGGGGAGAGACTAGGCACTTCTCTATGGAGAACAAGAACATCCAGTGCCATGAGATGGGGCAGAAGCCACCCCTGGCAGCCTGGGGCTTGGAAGAAACTGCCCTAGGGACAAGCTATGCCAGGGTTGCCCGTCGGGGACTTAGGTATATCTCCATATATTATTATTATATGGAGATATACCTTTCTCATAGAGCTGGAAGGGACCCCGAAAGGTCATCGAGTCCAGCCCCCTGCCTTCACTAGCAGGACCAAGTACTGATTTTGCCCCAGATCCCCAAGTGGTCCCCTCAAGGATTGCTGCCACTGGGAGAAAGTTGCCCAAGCCCTGGCCAGGCTACGGCCCCCTTGCTCTAACCCTGTGGGGCGGCCGTGGGGCGGGTTAGACGCTATGAGCCTTCTGGCCATGGCAAGGGCAGCTGCCTGCCCTGGGGAGCGAGTCCTGAGACCACGGCCTGTCCCTGCAGGGCGCAGAGCTGCTGTGTGGGATGCCGACCCGCCTCCCTCGGGAGCAGGGCCAGAGCCCAGCCTGGCAGCATTTCCAGGGCAGCCTGAGGCCGGGCGGTGCCTGAGCAGCCTCTGCCCCTGGGAAGGGCTGAACTGGCAGGGCAGTGCTGGGCGTGTTGCTTTCGGGGGCTGCCTGCAGACAGAGCCCCGTGCTGCCCCCCCACCCCATGCAGTGGCTCTCAGCTGGGGCAGGAGGCGCTAGGAATGCAGACAACAAGCCATGAGATGATTAAACGTTACAAGACCCCACAAACGCTGGGCTCCCTTTAGTGAGAGGCTCGGGGCACACTGGGCTTGTCCCCACCTGCGGGCTGAGCTCCTCCCCGGACCCCGTGAGTATCTCCTAAGGGCTCGTCTCCAGCAGCCGGGACTCAGAAACACCAGGTAGCAGGAGAGCTGCTAACAGGCTGGGGATCGGGCTGGCTCCTGGGGTGCCCTCTCTTCCCTAGATCTCCCGTCACCAGAGAGTCTTCCAGCCTAGACAGGACCTGCATTTCCTGGGTGAAAACTGTATTGAACCCCAAACCTTCCAGGCATCCTCCATATGCAGGGAAAGGCCCTTGGGGAGGGGGGTGGGAGGGGAGGTGGAGGTCCCAGGCTGATGCGAGCATGAACATGATCTGACGTGGGGGCCCTCTGCTTACTGGCTTATCTGCAAACACCCTGTTGCCACCGGGCCTCCCCTCCTCGTGCTGGGATCATCCTGGGCTGAGTGGGGAATGCCCCCGCAGTATCGCGGAGCACAGCATCCTCAGTTCGAGTGAAATCTCCAGAGCAAACCTGGTAACTCTGATTTCCCTTCCTCAGTTAGGAATGCTACTGCCACAACAACTGCCTCCCAACAAACCGCATCCAGCCAGCCCCCATCCACCATGGCTTCACCATCGCAGAACTCCACGACTGCCTCCCAACAAACCGCGTCCAGCCAGCCCCCATCCACCACGGCTTCACCATCGCAGAACCCCGCGACTGCCTCCGGAAACACCTCCCTTTCCACTGCTCCCACTGACAACACCACTGCATCCACGCTGAACAGAACAACAGCAGCAGCTCCAGCCTCGTCCAGAAACCCAGAATCTGCTTCCAGCCCTCCCCTGTCCCCGGCCAGCCCCAGTCCCACCAACACCTCAGCTACTCCTGCTGCCAACTCCAGTGAGACGCACTCGACTGAGCAGCCGGGGCCCAACAACGGCACAACAGCCAGTGGCTCAGGTAAGGACCAGGTGTGGGCACGTGGGGTTTGCGTGGAGGCGAGAGGCGCCAGGCAATGGCTCTGCAGGCCTCTGGCCCCAGAACAGGTGCAGCACAGTGGTAGCAAGGCAAGCTTGCCTCCCCTGCCTCCAGGGAACCCCCTGAGTCCTTGGCATCTCCCCAGTCAGGCTTTGGACGGAGGCCACCAAAGGATGGCAGTGGTCAGCCACTTCCGTCCTCCGTATGCCATCCATGAGCACCTCTAGGTGAGCCATTGTCACTGCCCTCAGGCCATACAACCACGCTGCACGATACGGGGCTCCCAGGGCCGCCCTGCGCCAAGCACTGGTCACGGGACACAACTGCCAAATGTGGGGAGGTGCATGCGGGTGCCTTTGTGCGCGGGGTGCGTTACTGACTGAACGCTTTAGCAGGGGTCACTTTCTAACTCTCACCACCAGATGGCGCAGCTGTCCCATGCCGCAAGGTGGAGGAGACAGGTGTTCCCGCTAAGTGGGGGGGTACCTGGACGGGTGAGATGCCCGATCACATGGGCAGCGCCTGGTGGCTCTTCCGTGCCCTGCCCCACGGAGCGTCTCCTAGGTGGTTGCAGTTATATCGATAGAGCAGCACGGTTGGCCCCACCAGAAATCGCACAGAGGGATTAGAACAATCTCCAGCTGTAGGAGCCGGGGGTGTGTGTCTCTGCCTGGCGTTTCTGGGCCAGGGGGTCCCTTTTCCCAACTCCTCAGACCCAGAAGCAAGAGAAACTCTCATTTAAAAAGTAAAAAATGTAAAGCTGCAGATCTGCAATCCCGGGGCTCTGGGGGACTCGCCTGAGACTCGCAGGAGCTGGCAGCGCAGCGCTGGTCTCCAGCCTCTCCCCACCCCACAGTGCAACTCCTGACCCCCAGCCGGGGCCCAGTGCTGCAGCCAGGATGTCCTCTGCCCCCACATGGACACGTGTCGTCTCCATGTGGGGGAGCGGGAGCCGCTGAGCAGGGTTCTCAGCGGTGTGGCTGCAGGGCTGGGGAGGTGTCTAAGCCGAGCGCTCTGTTCCCTCCAGCGGTGTCCTCCCTGAACAAGCCCACGCTCTCCCAGAGCCCCGGTCTGGTGGCCGTGATCTGCATCTTCGTGGCCTGCCTGCTCATTGCTGCTGGGGTGGTGGTGGTGAAGCTCTGCCACAGGAGGGAGCCGGCGTTCGAGAAGCTGGACGAGGTGCCAATGGTGCGTAGCTCCGCAGAGGACCTGGCCTCTGCCCCGGGCCCTGCCCCGCTGTCCATGCGTCTGTCCCGGCCTGCAGCAGGTCCCAGTGACTCTGCCCTGCTGTCATGGACTCACCGATCGTGCCCACGTCCCGCAGAGGCAGAAAGAGCCCCCCCCCTCTTCCACTGAGGCGCCTGCCTCCGGGCCCGGGCCAAGCGTGAGCTGCTGGAGCATCGCTGTACCTCCGGGACCGGCTGGGCCTGCAGCAGCCCAGGACTTTGCACTGTGTCCCGGGCTGGCTCTGCCTTCTGCTGGCGCCCACTGGAACAGTGCTTGTTCCCGCGGCCATGGGCGGCAGCCTCCTGCTCCGCACGGTTACACGGCCGCCAAGCGTGGGTGCTGCTGTCTGTGCTTGGGGCCAGGCCCATCAGCCAGCGGTAACAGCCCGAGGGGGAGGGGCGGGAGGGCAGCTCCTGGCCCAGCCCCACCCCAGCTGTGCTCTGGGACTTTGCCGTAGGCGTTCCCCTCGCTGCCCTCCAGCCGTGGGGCTTTTCCTGACTCTCTGGGTGGCCCTGTGGGCTCACCCTCCTCTCTCTCCTCCGCAGGGGAAGATGACCGAAGACTCGCCCTTCGCTCGCTACCCTCCAAAATAACCGGCGTCTCCCCCCGGCGGGAGCTGAGCCCAGCCTTGTGCAGGGGGGGGAATCTGCACATCTGTCTTGGCCAGGCTGCAGCAGCAGGGCGCCTCCAGCTCCGCCCGGCCCGGCCCGGTTAAAGCCCCCCTACCGCTCAGGGACGCCGCGTGAATAAAGAGGCTGCTGGTTCTGCTCAGATTTGCTGGTCTCCGCCCCTGTGGCCCCCACAGCTCTCCCCACAGCGCAGTGGGGGCGGGGGCGGGCGAGTAACTGAACGCGCTGTGGACTCTGCGTGGGCTGCAATCACCCTCCCGGGTGGCTTTGTCTAAAAGCAGCAGCCTCCCCCCCCCCCATCCCCCGCACTATCAGCTCTGTGTGGCCATGGGGGGGCACCGGCTGCCTGACAGAGACCCAGGGCGGGGGAGCCTGTCCCCTCTATCGCCCCTCACAGGATGCACCCCAGGGTGCCTGGCCTGTCTTCCCATGTGCTGCAGCTGCCCCTGCCTGGGCACTGGCTGCTTGTCTCCATTGAGAGCCGTGTCCCCACCCAGCACTAGCGCCCCCCTTGGCAGTGTCAGCTCTGGGACGAGTGCTGCTCTCCTTGGGGGGCTGGCGCAGCCCAAGCCCAGCCCGCTCGCCGGCTCTGCCCCAAGGAGGGAGTCAGCTGGGCGGGCTCCTGGCTCCGTGAGTCAGGCCTGTGCTCGCGCGGTTGCTGGCCAGCCCTGAGGAGCCGTGCGAGGTTCCCTGGCCCCCTGGCTCAGCTGGGAGCAGCCCAGCAGGGGCCTGGCTCTGGAGTAACGGGGGCAGCAACCCCAGCTCAGGTACCGGGCACCGGGGTCAGCACAGCGGGTCCTGCTCCGGTTCGAGCCACGGGTAGGAACTCTCCTGCTGTCAGTGGCCCAGAGCACCTGGACGGGGGGAGAGACTCCCACTAGCCGAGTAAAAGAGACACACACCTGCATCGCAGCCAGCGGGGCTCCGGCCTTCAGCGTGGGCCCTGCCCCCCAAGCACCTGCCCTGGCTTCCTGCTCCCAGGGCCTTCCCCCACCTGCTCTTCCGGGGGAAACTGCCCCTTTAAATCTGGGAGAGGCCTGTGGCTGCAGCCCTGGGTCTGGCTGCTGGAGGCTGCGCCCCCTCCCATCACCTCGGCATGCCAGGCCCTGCCTCTGCCCCCCCAGTGCCCTGCCTGGCGTGGGGGAGGGGAGCATGCGAGCAGGCAGGCACGCAGCCTTGGCTCTGCTCTGCTCCGTTGCAGGGGCTGCGGCAGGCGCCTGGGGGGAGCCGCGGAGCCTCGGCTGCCAGCGGAGAGTCAGCACAGGCTGGTTAGGAGGCAGTTTCCCTGTTGCCCCTGCCTGGGGGGACAGCACTGCTCCCCTGGGCTGGGGGGGGGACCGAGGCCTGGAAGGGGGGGGCAGTACAGAGCGGGCAAGGGAGAAAGGCAGAGAGGAGGGGGCTAGAGGCCGGCTCCCTCCCCCGCGACCAGGCTGTGGCTGGATCTGCGCAGCTCTGGCTCCGTCAGATGCCTGAGCTGGGCACCTGCCCCCTCTACGGCTCAGCAACCCCTTGTCCCCTGGCCAATGCTCCTTCGCTGGGAAGCCAGGCCTGCACCCAGGGCCGGAGCCTGGGCCTCTGGGGTTCTAGTCCCGGCTCTGGGTTGCCGAGTGACCTTGTTCCAGTCCCCGCCCCTCGCTGTTGTGTTCCCGAGGGCCGTGGGGCTATCGCGAGGGGGATTTGCCGTGGAGCAGCTGCCGAGTGCAGCTGTCAGTTACAGGGACTGCGCTGTGCCCTGCTGAGGGGCAAGGACCTGTCCCTGCCCCGGGTAATTGCTTGTTTGTTGATGCCCATCACTCAGCCTAGGCCCCAAAGAATCCACTGCACCGGCTTTCTTGCCAGCCCTGCAGGGAACGCGAGGCTGTCGGCAGAACCAAACCGCCTGACATCTACTCAGCCGCGCAGATCCGGCGTACTGGGGGCCATGGGCCTGAGCCATCCCTGGGCACCGGCTGCTCTCTGGGGTCCTGAGCGTCAGTACTCCTGGTACATTGCTCCAGCGAGACCCCGCCAGCCCCTCCTCCCTGTGCCGGCTCCGTGCGGTGCTGGGGACTGCCTGGGGTTCCCAGGATAATTGCAAATCAACTGCAGACACCTCAGGAGGGGGAGCCCTGGGAACTGCCCCTCCCCCAGATCCAGCGGTGGGGCAAGGGGGGGTTCCCTGGCACAGGGGCCGAGGGTCGCTTTCCAAGCCCAGTATCTGGGCACAGTGCTGGTCTCTGGCCCTGGGCAGAGAGGGCACCTGTTGGCATCTTTCCAGGCAGGGTTCCACTGGGGTTGGACAGGACGCCCAGGCTGAGCGACAGCCCCAGAGCTGCGGGGCCCAGCAAGGTGATAGTTGGGACTGCCGACAGCTTCGGGGGAGAAAGGAGGGGCAGCTGCCCCCTTCATGCGCCGAGGCCTTTGGGTCTGGGCCGAGCCCAGTGTGTTGTGAGACATTTGCACCAGGCTCCCCCGCAGAGACTCACGGCTCGGCGTTTCCCTCGGGTTGGGGCCGGGCTCTGCCCCTTGTTTCCGGACCGGTGTCCCAGGGCGGCTGCCCGGGCAGCCATGGGCCTCGTGAATAGCAGAGGGTGAGAACTAGGAATCAGTACTGAGAGCGAAGCCTCCCGCTCTCCCAGGCCTGTTTCCTTGTCTAACGCCTCAGCCGACTGCGGCTCGATCTTCGTCCCAGGCGCCAGATCCCCGAGCCCCCATCGGCGGGGACAGGAGGTGCTGGGGGCGTGTGGTGTGGCTGGCTTCTCACAAGGCCCAGCACTGGCATACCGCAGCTGTGGCCGTCTCCTCAGGCGTGTGACCCCCCCGGCAGCATGGCTGTTCCCAGGCGGGGGAGGAGGGGGCTGTAGCCCCCGCCCGGACTGGGGGCAGGGGGCTGTTTTAATGAAGTGCAGTGACCAGGGCAGGAACATGCCTGGCCGCTCACAGCTGGATTTGGGCAGTAAATCAAACAAGGAGAAAATTAAATTCCCCCCAAGAAAAGAGTTTGTGCTGGAACTTGGCTTTCATCTGGCCAAGCGGCTGCTGCGCGTGGGGGGAGGACGGAGCAGAAGCAATTTCCTGGACCAAGGTCAGGCAGGGCTCTGCTGCCGTGTCTCTGACATCGAGCTGGGAACAGTGCGGCCGGAGCCCAGCTGCCTCCACGCCCCCCCGCGCCCTGGCATGGGCAGGGTGCTGCACGAGGGCACCGGGACCGTGCCCAAGGATGGGCACAATCCCTCTGCTCACTGCTGGTTAGCAACTGTGTAAACCTCTCCTGTTCCCAGTGCCTCGGCTTTACTGCCCCAGCTGCCGCTGGGTGGGCACAGTGCCGGGTTATCGCCGGGCTACAGGGGCCTGGTCCTGCAGGAATCTCCTCGGGGGACTTTCGTCCCTCTGGCTGGCGGGGCGGGGCTGGCTCCCGGCCTTTCACTGCGGCACTGAACTCCACGTCTGTGAGGAACGGCTCCAGGGCGCAGTGCTGGGTCCCAGTAGGAGGCGCTCTCCCCTCTCAGCCATTACAACACGCCCCCCCCCCACGGGGGCTCGGGGGTTCTGTGCTGCTGCAGGCGCCGGTTCCCAGCCCGTCATGCCGCTATGTCACGCCGCAGGGCACCTAAAAGGCTGCCCTTTATTTCGGGCTGCTCCCAAGCAGCCGTCAGTCTCTGCTGGGGCCCGGGACGGGTCAGCCCCTCTGACCAACAGGCGCAAGGCTGAGCGAGCACTTCATGCTCGTGCCTTGCTGGGAGGGAGCTGTCGCCCAGTGCAGTTTCTGCCCCAAGCCCAGGTGCACTTCCTGCCCTGGGCTGTGTAGATGGGGGCTGTAAAACAGCTGCCAAACCCCAGCGCAGAGGGGGCTGCATGTCACTGCTGGGGGAGGTGGGCCCTGGCTGTAGGACAGCCCTTCAGGGACTGAAAGGTGCTCTGGAAAGGGAGGGAGCGAATGTCCCAGGGCTGTGGTAGGGGCTTCTGAGCTGGGTGCTCCTGTCCCCCTTGGCGGGTTAAAACCCTTTGGCCTGGTCCCTGCAGCCCTGGCCCCAGCTGCATTGCTGTATCCCCAGTGACACAAACCGGCCGTGCTTCACCTCCCATGTCCCCAGAAAGTGTCGCTGCTGGTCGGCTTCAGCCAGCCCCTGCGATGTTCCAGGTCCTGAGCAGAGGGTTCCCAGGACCGACTCGCCCGGGGTCCTGGCTGCGTCAGGCCAGCAGGGAGTGCCTGGGAGCAGAGAGACGCTCACCGCAGGGCCTCCAGGTGTCATTACACATGTGCTGCAATTGCAAAGTGCTCCTGGCCAGGTGCCTGCTGGTTATTTATCTCAACCCAGCGGCTCTGGGGAAGGTGACACAGAGTCACGCTGCAGCGAGCTGGGCGGATCTGCTCACCTGGGCGTGATACGGGTGCGAGGCACCGGCGAGGCATTGCTGGCTCCAGCCGCACGGGCGCTACCGGAGCATGCTCACTGGTGTAACAGTCGCCCTTGCGAGTCTTCAGGGGGACATTTCCTCCCGTGCAGATGCTCCCTTCCCTGGGCCAGGCCTCTGCCAGGACCAGCCATTCCCTCCTGCAGGGACACCGCCTCAGCTCGTTCTGCTCCAGCCCCTGGGCACGGGGGATGCTAGTGCCAGGTAAGAACAAATGCCGCAGCTCTCCAGCCGGCTGGCACAGCTGCCTGTGGTGCCAGGCCCTGGAGGGGCGGCTCTGGGAACGTACCAATACTGCTTATTGATTGTGCTTTGACGTGGTTTCCACCAAGTATTTATTTCACCATTAGCCGATTAACTGCCCTGGAGGCCGAAGGTCCTCAGGCTGGTGACTCTCATTATGGGCTGCGGCCTCCAGCCAATAGGAAGGCAGCTCCTCCCAAGGGGCCATGTAGCTTCCCTCCCGCAGGAAAATCCCCAAGGAAACAGTGTTGTAGTTGAGCTGCTTGGAGTGACCGGGCTTTGTCCCTTCCAACCGGCCGTGTAAAATAAACACGAGCGCTCAGGCCTGTGGGGGGCCAGGCCTGGCACGGGCTGCATGGAGCCTGGGGGCTTGGCCGGCACAGGTGCCCTTGTGCAGCATGTGGTCACAGGCAGGCCCTTGCTCTGGTCTCGCTGGATGTCGGCGCCCACTCCTAGTGAGCTCGAGGGGTAAGGCCAAATGTGAAGTGGTTTCAGTCCGGCCCA